AATGCAGAAGATAGCGAGCATTTGCAAGCTGACCTAACTAGCATTTTCGAGTGGTGTGCAGCAAATTCCATGTCACTCAATTTGAAAAAGTGTAAATAACATGTCCCCTAGAAAATCGTTCTACCCAAATTCGTATATGATATCTGACCACAATGTTGAGAAAGTAACCAATTTCATTGATCTAGGTGTAACTATGGATCCGAAACTAGAATTCAAGTCTCACACAAACTCCTGCGTGATTAGAGCTAGAGGAGTGNTAAGCTCTTTAAGTAGAGTAGTAATGCAGAAGATAGCGAGCATTTGCAAGCTGACCTAACTAGCATTTTCGAGTGGTGTGCAGCAAATTCCATGTCACTCAATTTGAAAAAGTGTAAATAACATGTCCCCTAGAAAATCGTTCTACCCAAATTCGTATATGATATCTGACCACAATGTTGAGAAAGTAACCAATTTCATTGATCTAGGTGTAACTATGGATCCGAAACTAGAATTCAAGTCTCACACAAACTCCTGCGTGATTAGAGCTAGAGGAGTGTTATTTATTTATTTACAAAGATATTGCAACTATAACTAAATTATAGTACAATATGTAGAAATAGAAGCTATGGCATCTATGGCCTTAAGCTAACTTATATGTGTATGTTGTAACGTTTGTGGATATATGTACTACATGTGTGTAAAGTAGGATCTGTTGGTAATTAGTAAAGTAGTTTAAGTAAGTTTTAATATCAGGAGTGCAGTGTAGATGGTTAATACATAGTCGTATACTTATTTTGTTTATTGGAGTGGAATGGTAGGTTTATATTTCATTATATAAATTGCAGTATTTTAAGTAGTTGATTAAGGTTGTTAGGTTTTGAAGTGAGGGGGTTTTAAGTAGGTCTGAGGGTTTGTTGGTAAGTGATTGACGGTGTAAGTTAAAGAAGGTGCATGTGTCCAGTATGTGTTGGGTATTTATTGGGTGATCGTTGCAGAAATTACAAATGTTGGATAGGTTTTTGTCGATTATATGTTTATGTGTAAGTGTACTGTGTCCTAGTCGCAATCTTATAATTTTGGTCTGATCTTTTCTGGTTAGAGTGTTAGAATTCGTTTTAAGATAATCGTTGATGGTTCTAAAGTTCTCGGATATATCTGAGTACCATTGCGTGAAATTATTGTTTCCGTTCGGGAGTTTTTGAAGATAATGTGTTTTAAAGAAGTAGAGTATGTCGGAGAAAAGTAGGTTGGGCGTAATTTCGAGAGGGGCATTTAAAGCATTTTTTGCCGCTGCATCCGCCAGTTCATTACCTGCTATCTGTACATGACCCGGAGTCCAGATCAGCTTTAGCTTGTAATGTTTTTCTAACAGTAGGGTGCGAATTGAGTAGAAGTTGTTATGTGAGAGGTTTTGAATTGAGGAGAGGGAAGACAAGGAGTCTGAGCATATAGCAAATTTATGTGGGAGCTTTGTAGCGTACTTGGCAGCTTCGTGAATGGCTATTAGTTCGGCAGAGAAGTTTGAACTGTAGTGGGGAAGATGAGATATTTGAATTATGCTTTTATCATGGACTATACTGTAACTAGTTTTGTAATTTATTTTTGGGCCATCGGTGTATAAGATTCTATAATCGGTGAGTTTTCTGACAATTTCCTGGAATTGGTTTCTGAAAACTAAAGGGGGTGTGGAGTTTTTTTTTGAGAGAGCTTAATTCTGTGTTTATTGCTGTGTGTGGCAGTTTCCAGGGTGGTGTTTTTGAATTTTTGTAGGGCTTAACATTTAATGGTATATCGAATTGTTTTGCTATGTTAGTTATTCTGCTTGTTGTCGTTGATAATGAGAGATTTGATAAGTTTAGCTGTCAACAAATCCCTAGTGGTATGTAATGGTGTTATATTAGCCTCGGAGGTGAGACACCTGATAGGGGTCGTTTTGAAGGCACCTAAGGCGATTCGAATGCTGGAATTTATTACTGTATTAAGCTTGTTTGTTGTCGATTTAGGGGCGTATGAATATAAGTAAATGCCATAATTAATTTTTGATATTACCAGGGCTTTAACTGCTGTCAATAAAGAGACTGTACTACAGTTGTATTTTGAATTGGCTAAACATTTTATAATGTCAAGTTGTTTTTTTAGTACAGATACTAAATAGTCGATGTGATTATTCCATTTATATCTTTTGTCATATATAAGCCCTAATATTTTTATATTGTCCACGGTGTTTATATTGACGTTATTACAGAGTATGTTAACTCGGCAGTTGTGTTTTTTACATATGTGTATGTGTTTACACTTTTCAAGTGATAGTTGGGCTCCGGAATATTTTGACCAGTTTGTGATATCGTTGTGTAAGTTAGTGAGATCTAGGATAGTATTTTTTGTTTTGTTCATTTGTTTAATAATAACAAAGTCGTCGGC